GTTTCAGATGTCAGATTTTGGAATATTTGCACATACATAATGAGACATTTGAGGGATGGGACCCTAAACATTAAATTCATTATGTTTCATATACACCTTACATATATAACAAGGTAATTTTACAATACATATATATATAATATGTATATATATTTTTGAGACAGTCTCACTCTATGTATATTATATATAAGTATATATTATACATATAATATATATATTATATATAACATGCATATATTATATGTATAAATATATTATATATATATATATATATATATATATATATATATATATGGGGGGAGAGGGAGAGAAAGAGAGAGAGAGAGACGGAATGTCTCTGTCGTCCAGGCTGGAGTGCAATGGTGCAATGTTGGCTCACTGCAACTTCTGCCTCCCAGGTTCAAGTGATTCTCCTGACTCAGCCTCCCAAGTCGCTGGGATTATGGGTGCCCATCACCACAACTGGCTAATTTTTGTATTTTTTTGTAGAGACAGGGCTTCACCACGTTGGCCAGGCTGGTCTCGAACTCCTGACCTCAAGTGATCCACTGGCCTCAGCCTCCCAAAGTGCTGGGATTATGGACGTGTGCCACCGTGCCCAGCCTATATAATATTTTTAATATTATAAAATATTAATTTATGTATTCATCTCATGAGGTCAGGTGTGGAATTTTTCACTTGTGGCATCATGTTGGTGCTCAGAAAGTTTGGGATTTTAGATTTTCAGATTACGGACGCCCAACCTATACTGAGTTCTTTGTCTCTTACCTCTTTCAACACATCTTTCTCCAAAGTGGAACTCTAATTTCTACACGAATTTCCAAGCTTTACTACTTAAACCTGCAGGTAACACTAGCACTGGCCTTACAGTCTAGTAAGGAGGATGCCTATGGCCTGCATCACACAAACTCACACTCTTTAGCAATGTCATGCCCTGTGCCTACAGAAGCCCCACATGACATTTTTACGAGTCCTAAAAATGAATGATTGGCCCCAGGTTATAAAATAATTGAAGATTCAGGTTCCTCTGAAAAACTTATCCAAACACAGTGTAAATTTTAGCATTGTTAACCAAATTCTGACAATTGTTTATGACTCCAACAGCAGGATGTGTTATTGACAAAAACTGTACTGGATCTCTCAAAGAGAGTTCAGTGGCATCTAAATGACCGTGAGCTGTAGAAGAAATGCCTGTAGCCGCTAAATTCTTTGAGAATGCTATCTTACACTAGTCAGGAGCTGTAAGAGATTACTGGTTTCAGTTTCACTTTAACCAAATCTGTGGCTTTGTTGTAGCTCCATGGACCTCAACTGGGGACATTTCTGGTTGTCACAATAGGGAGGGATGTTACTGACATCAAGTAGGTAGAGGCCAGAGATGCTGCTAAACAGTAAACAATGCCCAGAACAGCCTGACATCAAAGACTGCCAGCTCCAAATGTCAATTTTGCTGAGCTGGAGAAACCCCAGTGTCATCCTACACTCTGTTCCTCAAATCTGTCATTGAATAGTGAGGATGCATAATAAAGTGAAACTTCAAAATCTTAAATGTTTTGCCCATATGCACACTATATGCAAACATATAGGCCTTCAGAACTTTTTTTAGTCAGTTGGCGTGGAGGTCACACTAGCCCTCCTGTTCCTGTGCTTCTTTTCTCCCGGATATTCTGTTTTCAATATGTCCTACATCAGCATTAAGTCTCTTCTCAGCCCACAGCTACTCAGAGCTTAAAGCACAAGAGCCCAGTTTAACACTGTGCACAAACGCACATTTTCAGGCTTTTCACAGTCATACAACTAACTGAGGGAGAGAGGACAGAAAGCCACTTCCTACACAGTCAGGTTTGTGACACTGCAATGTTCCAAGACCAGACTAAGGCCTTCTCCTGATGTCCCCTGAACCCACCCTCTCTGATCACCACCCCATCACAAAGTGAAATGCTTAAAAAAATTGAAAGAATAATGTCATCACCCCAAGTAATAATTGCAAAATTTAAAACTAGAAAATGGAAAGTAGTGGGTTTTAATGAACTTCACTTAAAGCCCCTTAAACTGAAGACATTACATTCACCATTAGTATAGAGTAAAAAAATTATTTTCAAATGTCATAGAAACAATATGTGTAAGTCCTCTTCTCCACCTCTTTTCTTTACATTGGTGATTTACTGGTGTCTCTCTTTCCTTCCTTCTTTTTCTTCAGCTTGCTTCAATCCATTCATCCTTTTCGCAAACATTCCCTGGGGGCATCTTGCTGTCTTCTGCAGAGAATCTGAAGAAAAAGTAGGAACATTCCCAACTTGTGGGAATCCAGAACATTCCACAGCCATCTTTTCTTGTGTTGAGGAGGAAGGTAGGTTCCCTGCTCGTAGGGTGAGGCCCAACCTGAGAAATCCGGGCGCAGACTTTCTGGTTAGGAATATCTGAACACCCCTCAGATGGTCCGCCCTCAAGCCCCCCCCCCGACTCCTGTCACCTATTCAGTGCTTCTTAAGCAAGCTGTTTCTTGCTACCCGGTCCAGCTGATCTATTTGTTTTGATTAAATCAAGAAGACCTGTCCCACATTGCCCCTGGAGTTTCAGCTCCCTGCATGTGTATGTTAAAAGTTTAAGTGGACCAAGCGAGTGAGGGAGCCCAGGAACTCGGTTTGAGCCGCACTTTGAAAGTCTGTGAATCTGTTTGACAACTTCCCCGCCCCGCCCCCGTCTGCCTCTGTGAAAGCCTGTGCACCAACGAAATAGCTACCTCGATTTGCTGTGGTCAGCGTCAGGAAAACAGCAAGACTCACCTATGAGTTTGTGTCTTCGTCCTCCTTTAAATTTCAGCAATATTTCTGAGAGAAATAGAGAGAGAGAGAGAGGGAGAGAGAGAGAGAGAAATACTGTTCAGCTCAAAAATTTGCTCCAAATGATATACAAGGAAAAGGCTGAGGCTCGGTTTGCACCCTGAGATGCGCGCTGCAGGGGTTCCGGGGCTCCGCTAACAAAAGCACAAAGCGTGAACGGCTTGGTGATGGCTGTTTTTTCTCCCTCGGATGGAGAGATGAGATCACAATTTTCAAGAAGAGAAGGAACCGCCGCTGCCAGGCCGCTGAGGCTGCCACTTCCCCTCCCTGCACGGGTCCCGCATTACATCATTGGTGAGCTCTGGCTTGGGGGTGGATGGGTGACAAGGAGGCTTCGCCAAAGACCCAGCCCCAGACCGGGGAGGATAAACAGAACCACACCGGTGGGGCGGTGGTGTCGAGGAAGAGAAAGAAGGAAAACTCAGGACCCGGTTTCCTGCCACGAACCCGCGTGGGGGGCGGGGAGTTGCTGGGGTGAAAAGCAACATCTTTATAAAGCAGCCGCACCCCAAATCTCCTTACCGCGCGCCACCGGGCCGCACTCAACTCCCAATTCCAAGTCCAACTAAAGCCTATATCCAAAGCTGCCGGGAAGGCTGCGTTGAGGGTGACGAAGGGGACTGCTGAGGCGCCCAGGGACGGGGAAGGACCGCGGTGCACGCGCCGGGGGCTGGGGGTGGGGAGGCGCGAGGGGGAGGCGGTCGCCGCTGCGCCCCCGCCTGGCCCAGCCAGTGGTGCCTCCCCCGCCAGGCGACAGCAGTCAGAGTGGGGGAGGCAGAAGCGCCTCCTCCCCGCCCGCAGCCCCGGCGGCGGCGCAGGGGGAGTAAGGCACCTCACCTAGCCCCCGATGAGGGGCGGATCATGCCATGGCAGCGCTGGCGAGCGACAGCGGCAGCAGCCAGCAGAGCCCGAGCGGCAGCTCCAGGAGCCGGGAGGGAACTGGGGTCGCCGTGGAGGGATCCCCGGACTGCGGGGACGCAGGAGCCCGGGACGCGGCGGAGACGGTCCCTGGCCTCCCTCAGCTCGAGGACTACGAGTGCAAAATCTGCTACAACTACTTCGACGCGGACCGGCGTGCGCCCAAGCTGCTGGCGTGCCTGCACACCTTCTGCCAGGAGTGCCTGAGCCAGCTGCAGCTCCGCGCCGCCGCCGCCGCCGCCGCCGCCGCCACTGCCGCGCCTGAGCGCCCGCCGCGCCCGCCGCCCTGGCTTGGCCCGCCCGGCGCCATCGCATGCCCTGTGTGCCGCCACCGCACGCCGCTGCCCGACAGCCGCGTGCACGGCCTGCCCAACAACACCAAGCTCGCCGAGGCCTTCCCGTTGGCTCTGCGCGCCGCGCACGACCCGCTGCCTCAGGACCGCCTCCCGCCGCTGCCCGCGCGCCTGCCCGCGCCCGCAGCCACCCCGCCGCCCACCCCGGCCCCGCCACCGCCGCCCTCTCCGGCCGCTCCGCAGCCGCCGCCGCACGCCGAGGACGAGGCCCCCGGGTCTCGCGCCCGCCCCGGCCTGCGCGCCCCGGGCGCCTACGACAGCTGCCAGAACTGCAAGCGCGCGGCGCTCACCGCTGGCTGCGTGTGCGTGGTCTTCTCCTTCCTCTCCATGGTGGTGCTGCTCTTCACCGGCCTCATCTTCGTCAACCACTACGGCGGCGGGGGACCCCCCGGAGGCGGGGCGCCCCCTGGCGAAGCACCGGCCACCGGGTCGCCCTCGCCCTCGCCCGTGGGGCCCATCTGCCTGTCGGTGGCCAGCATCCTGGCGCTCTTCTCGGTCGTTGTCACCTGGGTCATCTGCTGGCTCAAGTATCGGCCCGAGGGTGCGGCCGCAGGCTCGGCGGGGGGCAGCGGCGGCGGCCCGCGGGTACCGGCGGCAGCGGGCGGCGCGCGGAGGAGCGACACGTAGCCGGGCCGCGCAGCGGACCTGGCGCCTGCACCTCCAGCACCGCGCGACGGAAGAGGGGGCCTCTGGCTCGGTGCGCTCGAGCTTCTGCGCCCTCTCCCTGCGGACCCCGGACTCTCCCGGACTCACATGCCCTTCCAACTCCGCCACCGCGGGGCCTCAGTTTTCTGTCCCTCGGGCGACGAGGAGTACCAGAGAGGGAAACTGACCAGGTGGGGATGCTGGTGGGGGGTCCCTTTTGCTCGGACTGTGCAAAACTGACCTCTGCGTTATGCATCACCTTCGTCCTCGCCAGAGTGTGCGGCCATCCCTCCCCAGAGCATAAAGATCTGCGGAGAGGAGGCAAGGGGAGGGGGAGCCCCGCCGCCCCGCCCGAAAGCGGGTTTTCTGGCTGCCAGGACTTGAGAGTTTCTTTAAAGGTGCAGCTGCGCGCGCGCAAGTGGATCTGTGGCGGCTGTGAATGGATTTGAATTGCCCGGAGGAAGAATGAAAGGGATGTAAACATGAGAGGTAAAGGGTACCCTACTTCCTAGCGGTCCTGGAAAGGGAGACACCCTGAGAGCTGAGAGTGACGGACGCTCCCTGCAGGCACAGCGCGGGCGTAGCCAGAGCTGACGGAAGAACCAGCGGGCAGCAGCTGGGCTCGTTGGGGCAGGTGCACGGCGCGCGTGCGCGCTCGGGGCGGACTCCGCGCAGCAGAGGTGGTGGCGCGCCCAGGGCGGTGAGCCCTACTTACCGACGACCGGGTGTTGTCTGGAGCAGAGCCCAGAAGTCTCATCTCCTGGAAGCTTGTGGTTGTTTTATTCACGGTGTTACTGCCAGGAAGTCATTTCATCTTCTGTTAACTGGACTCAGGGAGCTTAAAGAGCCTGTTCTCCCTTCTCTCAAAAGTGACTTACTGTTGCCCCCACCTGGAAGATACTGAAAGATATTCACGCCGAGTATGAACTAGATTTTCTCCTTTCCCTCGCCATTTTTTCTCAATTTCATTTAAGATATAATTTATTTTTCAATATATAAATCTGGAAATTTTTGTGCATTAAGATTTCCAGAAAAGTTGTTTGATAAGCAGTGACATTAGTTCCATACCTCGTGTCCAAATACATTTCGAAATTAGGAGCAGAAAATAAAGGCCTGTTGGTAATTGATTCAATATTTTATACTGTGAAATAACTAATGACTCTTAATTGTCTGATAAAATATAAAATAGTGCCCAAAGATGAAATCAACTAACTGAAGGTCTTTCTGCCTTTGATTACAAACATATATATCATATACACATATTAGAAAGTATAATATGATTTTGAATTTAGCTGTTTGATATTGTGGGAATTACTGAAATGTTCACATACAGTCACATGAGTTGAAAAAGAATACATATCTATCTCATTTTGTAATTACAAAGATGAATTACCAGTGTATGTTGCAAGTGGGTTAGATGCCTCTTTTAAAGAAGGAAAAGTGTTCCAAATGTATTTTATATGAAAACATTCTTTATTCCATCTTTTGAAATTTGGAATGAGAAAAAGTTTTCATGCTTAAAAATCGCAGAAGCTACTGAAGGTATGCTGTTATTCCTCGAGTATTTATGCAAGCTGTCTGCATGATATTCTGACACTATTCTATTAATTGAACTTGAATTGAGCATTTTTATCTATCATAGGGGTGAAGTAATTTATTGGCCGTTGATAAGTGGGTTGGCTGCGATGTAGAAACTACAGTATGAAGTGTTTTATGTCTGCATTGTCTTCATAATAAAAAAGAGGTATTTATAGAAAAATCTATTTTATGACATTAATTTCATGGTAAAAGTCCTCCATTACTTGTATGGCACTTTTCTTTTTTAAATATGTCCCCATCTAAATCCAAATTTCACATTTTTAAATGGGGCTGAGCGAGAAATAACTCACACATGGAAATGCACATTGCTAAAATGAGTGTTTCGTGGGATTATTTCTAGGATTTAATAGGAGCCCAGTGAGATCTGTTGTAGTCCAAAGAGAGAAGTAACTTACATATTACTACCACAACATCTACTAAAATTGAACTCTGTTGTTAGATTTTGTTCTGCTTTCTAGGAAATGTTTTTAGGTTTCTATTGCTAAAAATCGCTTTTCAGAGATGTTTTAATTTATTTATACCCCCATGTCTCCATAGTTTTACTTCTATATCCATTTTTACCTTTTATTCATTCTTTGTTTACCTTCATTGCTGAAATTCTGTTTCCACTAAAAACTGTTAAGTTGCAGAAGTATAGCTACACATGTATATATGTGCGTATTAGGTATATGTATAAAGATGTATCACGTATAAAATATATGCATACTAGTAACAACTTGGCTTTGTGGATGTAACGATTTGCACATGTGTACACACACATGAGTTTTTTATGTGTGTTAAACTGGCAACCTGGAAGTCTGTTTAAAGTTACTTTGGGCACCAGCTTTCTTCTTAATTTGTGTTCCAGAAAAATACACCACTAATGTAACCTAAAAGATTCCTCATAACTGGGAAATACATTCTTGAATCACCTCAGTGACAACAACAGCCACATTTTGCTTCTCTTATGGATTGCATGTGTAAATTTCATCTAATTAAAATTTGAGTCAGAATACTTTTAAATCAAAGAGATACACTTAGTGGCTCAGTATCTAAACACGGTGAGATATTTTCTGTGGCTTACCATGCTTTATTGCTAATTTCTGATTTTGTTACCAGGAATTGAGTGACAGGATGTGATCATGGGAAATATCTGTCTGGTTTCTCATGGTTATCTGGTATTCAGGTGTCTCTCTCACCTCTCTTCATTCAGCAGATTTGATTTAATCATTTCTATTCACTTGGAAGGACCTGCACACCAGTACCTTAGACAAAGCAGGAGTTTAAGAAGTAATTGTTCAAATAACAAGTGAGTTGTCTAGAGGACTCCTGGTGAAAATGAAGTGTTTTTCTCCCTTCCCATGGTTACTTTCATCATCTTGGAAAAGCTTGATTCAATCCTGGACACCTCTTCACCTTATGAGTGAGAACTACCAAGTAGAGTCACTACAAAAAACCCAGCCTGGCCTGGTCTTCGTACCTGGTCGGAAACTCCTGGTCCCCATGTGCAGTGTTCTGCCAAGGTTCTGTGACTACAGGTTAGAGTTATCGGTGAAAGAAACTTATGATGCAGATGATGAACTAAACATTCAGCCTCTAAATACAATAGGATTTAGTGAAGAACATGCACATCTAGACAGCATATTGGGTTTGGGGTCAGTATCTGCAACCGGGAGGTATAAGCCTGAATACTCGTTCTCTCTTTAGTCAGAAAGGCCATTAAAACTCATTTAACCTCTTTTGAGTCTCAGGCTCAACATCTATAAAATTAGGGGTGGAGAGTATCATCCCCACCTACCTCATGGAATTGATGTGAAGATTTGTACACATAAGAGGATAAATTCATGAAAACTCTTTGGAAACTAAAGCCCTATATGGACCTTTCTTTCGTTTAGGTCTCCAAGGGTCTAATATTACCTCCCCAGAGAGGTCTGCTCTGACCACTCTAATCTCAGGGGATATCTATCCCAGCTTTACTCTCTTAATAAGCTTTACTTTATTTAATAAGTGTTATGCTGTTTGCAGTAGTCTTACTTATCAGTTGCATTTTTCAGCAATCCCTGCAACCAGAATGTAAAGACATGAACAGGAACTTTGTCTATCTGGTCATCCATTTGATCCAAAAAGCCTTAACCAGTTCTGGGCACATAGTGAGTGACTGCTAAACGTTCTGTTGAGTCTGCTGAAAGGACACTCTGGAATGAATGTTAGGTGACTTGGCTTCCCAGACTCACACTAACCTGGGAAGCTGAGGTAAACAGTTTCCTTTACTTCATAAGAATTTTTGAAAGGTGAAAAAATATTATGGAAAGCACCTTGAGTTTTGAGAAAAATTAGCACTATAACAGTGGAACTCTCACTGTTTTATATTCAGTGACAGGAACCACTAAAGAGACTAAAGGATATTTGGCCTCCATTTTTAATCAGTTCTGCACTGTGTGACATTTTAAGGTATCTTTGTGAACGTGTCTACATTGTCGCCTCCAAGGCTAGCAGCACCTGTGTAACTGGGACTAAAGCACATTGCAGTGGAATTTCCAACATGAGAACAAGATCTATTAAATTTCTTACTATTTGTTACTCCCTGTTTTATTAAGTATTCAATCTTTGCCATTTTAATAAATCATTCTTTATAGAATTGATAATTTTAAAATATTGATAACTGAGCAACCCCCCAGTTATTCTGTGATTCAACTCGCACCCTCTTTAATCGTTGAATTTCTGTTAGGTGATATTTGTATTTCACATTTCTGCTATTATACAAAGATAATGAAATTCACATTAGGGACAATGAACTGCATGCTTGCTAAATATGCATTACACCTCTTGTTTTGAAATCATGTTTTTTAAAATTGTATTTGTTATAGCGTGAGTTTGAGGAGTAGCTAATATTTACCGTAGTAACTATTTCTGAAATGAGTGTTAGAAATGACTGCAGCCAGATCTTAGTTTGAAGTTATGTAAATGAAGAAAGTGTAAGAGATTGCATTTATCCTCTGCTAGATATCTCTTTTGATTTTCCATATAAGATAAGCTTTGTAATATATATCAGCATTGTTTTCCTTCAATCAGGTTTGATTCTAAGCCTTCTGTACTCTTATGCAGACTAAAATATGCCAAAGAAAAGCAAATTTGTTTCTGTGATAAATTCACAATAACTTCTGATTATAAAATACACTTGGAGAAGTAAGAATGTTCAATGTTTCATTTCCAAGAATATTCCTAGGAGCTGAGGAAAAATGTGCACACTTCCTTTTTTTTCTTTTTAAAAAAAGTTCTGTGCATGTAAAATTGGATTATCTTTGGTTTAGAAATACCACATCTCCATGGGGTTGAGTTGGGGATATTGAAGTGGGAAGAGAGTGGAGAAAATATGCAAAAAGTTCTTTTAGCCTCTAATCTTACAAAACGTACCACAAAATAAGCAGAAGAGAGCATGTTTAATAACTGAAAGAATAGAACACTTTTATTTCAACAGCTATGATTTCAAGAACTGTGGTAATGTATGGTCCACTCAACTATCTCATAGCACATAAACAAGTATTCTCCATCATATGTAAATAACTCATTTGTGTCACTACTGTGTGGCTTTAAAAATATTTTGTAGTTGAATTTGAGAGGTAGAGAACAAGTTCTATCTGAAGCAAAGTTTAGGGAAGAATTAACTTCAAGTGAGAATTAGAAAGTAATTGCTTGGGAAAAAAATCAGAGGGTCAAGCTCTGCCAGACAAATAATTTGTCCCTAGAAGCTCATTTCCTATTATAGCAATTTATCCACCGATGTGAGCCTTATGGAGGCTCTCAACCCTAGTCACATATTAGAATTATCTGGAGAGCTTTAAAAAATGTACTGAAGCACCCTTCCTCCCCCAGAGACATGTATTTAATTGATCAGGGCAGTGGAGAAGGAGATGCGTCGGTATTTTTTTAAAGGCACCCCAAGTGAGACTATTGTGCAGCCAGATTTGAGAGCCATTAGATTTAACGTATTTATTGAAAGGCAACTGTCTTACTAATCTCACTTTAATGAACTAAACGCCACCAGGTGCCCTGTCTTAGAAACCAATTGGGAGATCCTGAAGCAATGCTTAGGATTTTGGATTTTGAAAGTGGGCTTGGATCACCAAAGGAGGGTTATTTAATCGTTGCTTCTGTCTCTCTCTCTCTCTCTCTCTCTCTCTCTCTCTCTCACACACACACACACACACACACAGACACACACACACACACACACACACACACTCCGGGTACCTTTGGACTCCCAGGAAAGTTAAGTAAATATTTGCATCCGCTTTTGGCTGCTGGGGTCTTTTCTCACGTTGGGGAGCGGGGGCTGTTGCTCCTTCCCCTTGCAGGAGGCTTTTCTGTGGGCTTTCCCATCCCCCACAAAATAGGTGAGTGCTTTCCAAGTCCCCTGAGTCAGCAAAATTCAGTGACAACGAGGGGATTTGAGGACGGATTATGCGGATAATCAGGGAAGTCTCGAGGTTAAATTAACAAAACATCGCCAGTGATAGATGTGGGTGTCATCGCCAGCGACAGCTGAAAGGGGAATTTCAGCTTGTCTGCTGGTCGCTGACAGGTGCCGACGACCGAGCTGATGTGGCGCAGAGTCGTGTTTTAAAATACTCGCCAGGAAAGCTGCTAAAAAGACCCTTTTTTAAACAGCAGCCATTCAGCGTGCAAATTAATTCCACGCTCTTGGGTGCAGGTATACTTGGGTTTGCAGTTGGTGGGAGACATGGGATTACCTCCATTTCTTTTTTCTGGGGTGGGGGGGATACAAACTGGACTTTACCTGAGGGTGCACACGCCGACGGTGGCTTCCTGCTGAGCTCAAGGACTCTCAAGGGAAGAGGAGGGCACGCGGGCCAAGGACTGGGTTCCTGCTTACTCTGCGACCGCGGCCAGGGCAGTCACAGCGACTGGGACGTGGGACACCAGGGGAGGCTCTCAGGTGGGAGGATCAGAATCCCGCACCCTGGAGCTGGCGGGGTTTTCCTCCCCCACCTGCAGCCTCTCGGGCAGGAAAGGACCCTAGGCTTCCCTGGGTGACAGGCGCTGAGACCCTCTCCTCCGGGCCAACGACACTTTAGGTTGTCCCCTTCGCCCCAATTCCTTGCCCCGTTACGGGTGAGTTTGAGATCAAAAAGGCAGGGGAGGGCTCCGGGACAAATCGAAGGCACAAGGACGCTGTCACGAGCCCTCTTGTCGCGCGTGGAGGGAACCAGTGGCCACGGTATCTTGTCGACCCAGTCACTCGCCATCCCGGCTCAGTTTGGTTGACCTTTGTGCGGAACCTGGTATTCAGCCTCACCTGTGACGTCCTCAATTTCTGGGGCTGGGAGGTAGGTTATTTACAAGCGGATGACGTCTTTCATATTCCTAGATGCCCACGGGCCGCTCCCAGAGCCCGCCCGAAAGTTCCGCGTTTGCATCTATTCGTAAAAATTGCAGAGGTGCCCAAAGAAGTAAATTAAGAAAGAAGCCGACGCCGGGTACAGTGCCTGAGGCTGCCCGCGCCCTGCGGAGGGTCGCCTTAGTTTAGTCCCGCCTTTCTCCAGTGCTTTTGGCGCCCAGCAGGGGTTCGAGAACCTCAGCCCCTAACAGCTTCCGAAAACGTGTTCCCCGCCGAAAGTCCCTCATTTCTCTCGAGGCTTCCAGAGGTGCAAAGAGCATCTTGACAAACCCTCTCATTGTCCGAGGCCGGGGCAGCGTGACCTGGACAGG